CTGCTCTCCACGCTCAATTCCATTCGCTCTCACACTTCCCCTCTCTTCCGATCTCCAAACCGGCCTCTTCCTTCCCTATCTTCACAGAGAAAGAGAGAGAGAGAGAGAGAGAGAGAGAGAGAGAGAGAGGAGCTTCCACTCTTACCCGATCGCAGCTCTCTCCGACCTAGCCTCAACCCGAAGCCTCCAGTGATGAAGAAGAATCGAATGAGGCGAAGAAGTTTACGACTCATCAAAACTCCACCTCACGTGAAGGTGATGTCGAACAATAACGAAGAAATTATAAAGATGAATCAAAGTAGCCAAAGAAACTTGCGGCTCTTTTAAAACTCCACCTTGCAGGCTTCGTCGAGCAACAACGATGAAAAAGAATTAGATGAGAAGAAGTTGGCAACTCTTTCAAAAGTCTACCTCACGTAAAGGAGGCATTGTCAAAATAGCAAGGAAGAAACAATGAATATAGTCGAAGGAGGAGAAAAAGCTAATTGTTTTTTCAAAATTCCGCCTCACGTAAAGCAGACATCGTCATATAGAAGGAAACGACGAAGAAAATCGAAGGAAGGGTCTAACAGAAGAAGCTTGTGGCTCTTTCAAAACTCTAGCGTCAGAACGCTTTAGGTCTAGATTAAAAAAAATGTAAATTGAGCTGTACGCATCGTATGAGAAGCTAGAGGCATGTGCATGGAGGTGTTTTTCGTCAAAATTGTGCTCAGTTGCGCCTCTTATTGCACAATTTCAAACTATGGTCTTGAAAAAAGAATATAGGAGAGAATTTACCACTTATTTCTTGAATCATATCTTTCAAGTCAAGAGAGATTGCATCAAAGTTCGTGTATTGATACCCCGAACAAATAGGATTGTTAAAAGGAAAAAAATTAACATCTATTGAAAGTCTCTAGATCTCTAGATCCATCATATTGACTTTTGACGTTCAAAAGCTTTTTTGTGGTGAAGTCATTCTTATTCCAGCATATCTCATAAAAAAATTGCCCATCTAGTCTTGAGTTTTAGCATGTCATGTCAAACACCCCCTCATTTCCAAACGCATGAATCATCTTCATCTATCCCATCAAAGTTTTCTGATGTATTGCATTTATTCTGATACATCAACAACATTGAAGCAAGCTTGATCCAAAATCTCTAAAATGCATAATCCTTAGGTATTATTCACATAAAAGTATAAAACAGGTTAAAAAAACTCCATGTCAATAAAAATAAAGTTCCACAAATCCATAGATGTGACATTCTTTGAGAATCAACCCTACTATCCTAAACCTTCAATTTCGGAGGAGAATTATATTGCATGTAAATATTATCTTTAGGAAAATAGGAATGTCAAGCAATCTAAAACAGTCACCATTCAAACACTATTTTCAACCAAAGTACAACATTAAATCATCTCAACCTTCAACACAACTCTACAATTTCGAGAACTGCACAAGAAAGATCAAAGCCAGGATGTGATTGTCCATTCAAGAAAATTCAAAACTCAAAATAATATAGTTTATTTATCACCTCTCAAGCAAAATCAGAAATATTAAATAACTCCAGAGACTCTTGAAACTTGCCTAGATGACATTCTTACTGAGATTCTATTAATCCTTGATTTAGATCAACCTATTGTTGTTAGAAAATGTTAGAGATCTCATACTCAACATCCTATCTATAATTTTATTTCTTATGAAAGATTGTCTCCCAACTTTCAAGCCTTTACCACCACCCTGATAGATCTATGGTTGCCAAATAACATATAAGAAACTCTCAGCCAAAAGAAAAAATGAAAGACTGCTATTTTGGAGAAAATAAGAACAATTATTAAAAATACAACCAAAAATGATAATACTTGAGGTTCTATGTTTCTTTAAATCATTGCAATATCTCGTTGTTTTCTACATCATGATGCCAGATATTTTGATCCAACCAAAAATGCTAACATTTGATTTAGAATTTTCATTCTTCTAAGCGTGCCTTTCATCATCAAAACAGATAAAGTGGTAAGACTCCTATGAAATAGCCAATTTGTTCAACTTCCCTGGCCACATTAAACAACTCATCCATTACCAGCATAAAGTGAATTACAACTTCTTTTGAGGAGAAAACAAGCCCACCATATAAATATAGGAGTATTCTCCAAATAAACAATGCATGCATGAAATGCCAGAACCTCACAAAGACCACAATACCATGGCCAATAGCTAACTAGAGTCACTAAAAGCTTGAACTAGTCCATACTAGTTTAAACAACTCAGCCAAGGATATGTGATGAGAACATCAGTAAGAGATTTCGACATGTGTACCATCGTCGGAGTCGTAGATCGACGGCTACGATCCAGAGTCTTTACTTTTGATATATTTTGTATTTTATTTATTTTCATTTTCTAATTTTCCTAGTTTACCCGTATGGGTAGTGAGTCGCTATTGTATCCACGAGGGCAATTGTGTCTTTCTTCTTTTCTTTTATTGAGGCCTATATATTAAGGTCTCTTAGCTTTGTAATGGTTAATGATGCTTGTGAATGAAATTTCCACTTTCTTGCATGATCTCTTGGTGATTTCTTGAGAGGAGCAACCCTAAGTGGGTGAGAGCAATGCCCATCAATCTTGGTGGATTCCAAGGTTCGCGGTTCATTGTTTCCTCCTTTCATTACCCACCATCCTCCTTCCCTTGCTCAACCCACTGGCCTCATCATCCCCATCCCCTTCTCCTCCTAAACCGAGCCCCCACCTCCATTAACCCCCACGCAGTCAGCCCCTTGGCCCTCCCAACCACCGGTAGCCCATAAGCAGCCGCCAGTCCCCACCCTCTGCCACCTCTTCCCCCTTGCACAACCCGCCAATCCCTCCTCCCATAACCCTTGAATTTTGAATTTCAAAATTCAAATCCATCCTTCATCACTTTCCTAAAATAATCCTACCAATTAGGAAGGCTTATTTATTTGAATTCAAATAATTCCCTCCCTAATAAATTTCAAATTATGAAACCTCCCTACAATTAATCAAATCTGAAATAAATTTCAGATTTGATTTCAATCAACATTTAATCCTCATGGCCCACATACAACGAACCTAGACACCTTGCTCCTCCTTCATGTAGCCGACCCCCTCCCTTGCCTTTTCTCCCTCCTAATCAACTCCCAATCACAATTAATTGCTCTCCTAATCCCCTCTCTAATAATTTCCCATCAAAGCCCAAGCCCTATTTGAAGTTTGAATTTAATTTCAAAGTGATTCCCTCCAATTTCACTTAACCTGAAATTAAATTCACCCAATGCTTTCTAACTCAAACCTAGCTATTTCCCCTCTCTTCCTCACACCGTCCCAACCTCCTCCCCTCCACCCAAGCTGCCAGCCTCCCTCTCCACCCGCCACCTCCTCTCCCTCTCCTCCCCCACTTGTACTCTCTCATTTCTCACGGCAAGCATGTATGGCCGATCCGGAAGTTGATCAGGGGCTTATTCTCAATTCTCAAGGGGAGATTGATGTCATCCAATCACCATTCTTTGACCCCGGATTTGGATCCGAAAGCACCGTCAAGGAATACGTTGATCGTATCCTCGCCCACTTAGCGGACATCATCGAACATCATCGACGAACAAAGACCTATTGGAGAGTGGAAGATCAACGGACGACTACCCGTTCCTCCAACTCTGATTCCTTCCCCTACGACTAGCACACTCAGCATCGCATGTCTTATAGTGGCGTCTCTAAGTTTGCTTGCAACCTTCTTCCGCTAAGCCAATCACTTTCAAGAGTGTGAGTGAGGGATCCCAAGGTGAACGATCTAATTATTAAATTGTGAATTTTGTTAACTTGTCATTTGCTTTACTCGTTTATTTGTTGTTGTTATTTTGCAAGTATCCTAGTAATCTCTTTTGTAATCGCTTGCCATTACTTAATCTTTTCAAGGAATTTTCTAAGATTTAAATTGAAGAAGCATCCATTTATATTTAGCCAAGCAAAGTTCGCATTTTAGTAATTTCTTAAAAGCAATTCTTGTTCATCATCATTGTATCACTTCAATATGACTAGAGCCTCGTTTGGGACGGTTTTGTTGGTGCTTTCTAAAACAATTTTCCAGTACAAAAATTTTAAATACAAGAAATTTTTATACTAAGGAATTATTTTAGAAAGCATTAAAAAAGCTGTCCCAAACGAAGTCTAAGAAAATTGTACTTGGCAAAACTCAACCTATAAACTAAACTAAAGAAACTCCATAAGCCCCACAACCAGCCATAACAATGGGACTCTCCTTGTTGCCATTGGACTATCCTAGCAGACCCTTGATGTCGTAGCCAACACTTCCTCAAATGAGCCAAGATGCAAGACTCTGAATTTCCATTACAGTGTGAGAAGTAACTTGGTACATGGAAGAGCTTAACCTAGAAAGTTCCAACAATTTTGGCTCTAGAATAATAAGAAATAATTTTTGAAATGAATTGCAACTTTAGCACATTTTTGGTGTAAAAATACACTCACATATCATACCCAAACTAATTTCTAAGCAATAAAATGCCCCCATAACAAATGTTTAAGTAATGAATAAGTTACTACAGCTCCATTTTCTTTTAAAATGAAATAAACCCTACTAAATCGACAAAGCAATTGCAATACATTTCTGCTACGTAACCTATAACAAAATAAGCATCACAATAGTGTAAAAGATAAGGATCAAAAACAAAAAAAGCTATAAGTTCATGCCTCCATCTTTTAAAAAAAAATTATCTGGCAATGTTAGCAGAAAATTGTTCGAAACCCCAAAACACGCATAATATGTATTCAAATTCCATCAAATCGCCAAATCCAACACACAAAATAACCACAAACAAGTCGACGCATTCAATTAACTGCAACATTTCCCACTAAGTTATTACAAAAAGTCAAAAACACAATATGCAGACGGAATTGGCATAAACGTGCATATTTAGTAAACAAAATACGACAAATTACCCGATTTTCATCAAGAACGAAAGTTTAATAAGGCAATGGGCGGTCATCACTTACCTCTTCGTATCTCTGGGTAAGGGCAAGCCGCTCGTCCTCCGTCATGTCAGGCCGGAGCACCGCCATAGTCTCGTACTGCCGGAGTCCCGGAGGACACTGCGGTTCCTCTTTATCCTCCAATGTCGCAATCGAGGCGGCCGCCGTCGGACCCAATCGAGGCCCCTCTCCCTCCTCGTCTCCGCCTTCAAAGAAGGATCCTGAGAAATCTAGAGTCTGTGCGCGGATAGCCATCGAACGCGTCGCTCGCTTGCTGACACCGCCATGAACAGGGTGTCTGAGGATGCGGCAGCCGGAGATTAAGAGGCGAAAACGAAATCCAGACGACAGCGAGGAGGCGGATGAGAAAACAACTGGAGCAGTCATCGAAGTCATAGCTTCGGGAGGGCAAAGCTACGGAGTGCTGAAGACAGGATAAGAAGCGAGCAGAGGAGCACTGAGCGGGCCGGCTTCGGGTCGATCGGGCTCAAAGCAGGGTTTGGATTCAAATTCAACAACTAGTTTGACCAAATAGGACACAAAAATTTGGGGCTCGGCTATTGGTCCACAAAAAAAATATTTAGAAAATGATGATGTTATTTTAATTAATTTTAATAGCGAAGATAGAGTTAATTGCTCATAAAATATAAATCACATTGATCTTTAAGCAAATCAAATTAAATGACAAATTTAAATATATTCAACATTTTTCAAATGTTTTCTATAACTTCAAAATCGAATGGTCTCATATATAGAGGTGTCAATAAATGACTGGACCCATCAATTTTATCTAAACCTGACCAAAAAAAATTTAGATTTAGATTGATCCATTTAATTATCTGGTTAAGTTTGTACTAGGTTTTCTAACTCATTTAATTAATTAGTAGGCTCAAGTTGATCTACAAACTCATTTTTTGACCCGAAAATGACATGTTAAATATTTTTTTCTCTTAAATTCCTTTACTTGTGGGTATAATAATTATATTTTATTAAATATCATAAACTTTATATTTAATAATTTATAAAAGGGGTTTTTACATACATAACACTTGAAACTTTCTTATTTACATATCCAACACTATTATTCAGCCACCCAAAACACTAATAGGTAACCTAAAATACCACTCCCGTTACCTCCGTCAACCCGAGCCTGTCTTTGCGCGGGAATCATCCCGATCGAGCAAGTCGCAGGTCGTTTTCTCCACGCCGATCACTCCGCTCAGCCTTCTCAACGCCTCTGTCGATTTCTCCACGCCGGCCACTCCGCTCAGCTTTCTCCACGCCGCAGGTCGTCTTCTCCACTCCACTCAGCTTTTCCGCAACCGACGAAGTTGTTCCTGTTGTATTGGCACCAAGGTAGTGGATATTTCGTTGTTAGATTTCTGGAATTGAGAGTATGTGCTATTCTGAAATTGAGATCCATTGAAGCTATATTTGAATCTCTTGTTTAAGTAGAATCCCACGGTACTCAAGAAACCGAAACAGAACACATAGCAGATCTTATCTTAATCTTCAATACAACAAATTTTTCCAATACAACAGAACACATAGCTTTGGTTATTTGGAGTACTAGTGGGTCAAATTTGGGTTGATGTTTTAAACTTATTTACTAAATAAGTTGAGTTCAGGTTGATTGAGTTTGGGTTGATTGAATTCGGGTTGGATCAATTTAAGGGTGACCGCACACCCAATCCATCAGCTTGTTTTGACACTGCTACCCATATATTCATCTAACTTTTTTAGCGAGTCGAACCATTTAATTTCTGAGAAAAAAAATCCGACCAAAAACTCCAAATAATTTTTTCTATCAAGAGGGGTTAACAGTGCATAAAAATTTTTTAACTAGCAAAGCACTCTTGTGAAATATATGACTTGACTAGCATATCCTTTTGAGAAAATATATAAATCAATACATATTCAAATATAATATAGTCAATCAAATGCTCATATATTATGTTTCTCCTATGTATAATATATCAAATAAACACATATACTAAAAAACGGTTTGATGTATAAATTTGAAAAGCATTTATCTTGAATTTGTTATATTAAAATAAATCTCAAATATTAATAAAAATTAGGAGCATTTTTTATAATCTTTAATGTATAAATCTTAATAAAAACTTAGATTATTCATTGCAAAAAAAAAAAGGTGAACTATGGCTGTTGGACTGACAAGATTTCCAGCCCAGCCAAGCCCTAAATGCTTTTGGACCTTGGTTGGTCGTTTAATTTTGGGACTGGACTTTGATCACCATATTGGGCCTTAGTTGAATCATGGGCCAACTTTACTAACGTAATTTGTCACCCAAAACTTAAAGTAGGGTTGTAAACAAAGTAAGAGTTTGACAAGTTACTTGAGGCTCAGCTCGATAGAAACTCTTTTATGATCATTTAGTTAAATAATCAAAAAAGTTTTAATATTGTCTTAAATACCCGATGTTTTAATAAAGAATCTTGAATAACTATGCATCTGGTTCATTATATTCATGGAAAATATTATCTGAAGCTTATGAACATGCTTGATAAGAAGCTTGTTAGAAACTCAATTCTTGCTTAATAAGGAGCTCAATTACGGACTCTTGTTAGATAAGAGGCATATTAATGAAATCAAAATACTTGTTTGATAGTTTGAAACAATCACTAGAAATGTTCTCGAGCATGTTTGTTGGTATGCTCAATAAAGCTCGTTCGTTAAACTAATGTACATTTAGAAGTAGTGCTCGTTTATAGCTTGATAAGATTGATTTGTTTAAAGCTTGCTAAGCATGAAATGAACCGAACATAAAACAAATACAAATCAAACATGAACATCTTAAACGAACCAAACTTGAACATTAGCATGAAAGCTCAAATCAAACTTGATCGAACATGAATAAGTTGATAATAACCGAACACGAACATGAACAAGCAAATGCTCAACTCTGGCTCAATTCGTTTACAACCCTAACCTAAAGTAAAACCAAGCATATTAAGCCCAAAATTATTAAAAATAAAAGTGTGTCATTTCATAATTTGTAATGATTTTTAATTTTGATGGAAATTAATTCAAAATAACAAACTATAATTAATTTTTAGTGACGCTTATTTAAAATTAGCAAAAATTCCTTATTTCTATCATTATTGTTCAATTTTTATCATTTTAATCCAAAATCATAAAAATGAAAATGAAAGTTTGAAGTATTTATAATCACTTTGAAATCATAGAAAATCGTTTGGTACTAAGAAAATTCGAATGAAATCAAGGACTCAATTGAAATTTCATAAACTTGGAAAACACGTGAACAATGTGCGCGTGAACAAAGTTCACATAAATAAAATTGTAAAAATAAAAAATAAATCTTATGAAAATATAACTTTTTTATTAATATGAATTAATAATTTAAGCTTGAGATGCATAAATTTATTTCACAATCCTATCATACAAATTTGGGGATAACAAATTTATAAGAGCATAACATATAAGAAGTAAACTGTGGTTGCGGGTCTTGTGGAGTTTGGTAGTTTGTCTCTTTTTCTGTAGGTGGTGGCATAACTGTTGGGGTGGGGTTATGCAGGTCTGTGTTGCTCTTGTTTGCTCCAGGTGGTCTGTGGTTATTTTGAGCTGCTGTTTTTATTGGGGTGTTAGTATATTTAGGGTCAGCTGGTTGTTTTACTGTTTTGACTATCATTATTTCAGTATGATGGATGGGTGCAGTAATGAGGTTGTGGTCCATTCTAGCAGGCTGATTAAGTGTGTTCTTTCTGTTAATTATAAGAGACATGCATGAGTATTTTAACAAATTTTTGTGGTTTTGGAGTTTATTTGTTTTGCAGGATTGTAGCCCGAATGATATCTATGGTGCTTTATGGTGCAGAAAGGAAGGTTGAGATGATGAAGACTAAAAGTTTCTGAGTTTTGCTTTTGAGTTTTGTAGGAATTGTGCTATGATTGTTATTTTTTGTCAATTCTTTTTTTGGGTGCTGATTTCTCTCAGCCTTAGCATGTTATTAGGAATTTTTGTAACTATTAGATTTAGGGACCACCGGCTAGTAGTTTTTTTTTTTTCTCTTTTTATTTTGTAGCTCTTATGAGCAGTAAAAAGCTGGAGGTCTCTATTCAGGATTTTGTAATCCCAATTTTGTTATTAACGCGTAGGCCCATCCGTGGGTTATAACAAAAAAAAAAAGTAAATTAATTAAATTATCATAATATGTTTTCATTTTGATCTTAATCTTAACTATCTCACCCTCAATTTTTCAATAGGTAATTTATAAGTCAAAATAGTTATTTATTATATTTTCAACAAAAAAAATAATATAACCTAATTTTCTTCAATTTAAAATGCATTTACTTCACTTGCTGCAATAATAATAGATTAAAAATTGCATCAAATTAGATGGTTAAAAACATCGAGATTGTTTACAAACGTAACTCATATTACAAAGCAGTTAAAAACCTACCAAAAAAATAATTTATTTTATATTATCTCTTATGAGAAAAGTATTCATTATTTTATAACCATATTTTTAATTCATATAAATTAAGAGCTATGGAATTGTATTAGCCAAATAATAAATATTTATAATTAAATAATTAATAACAATAATTTTAAGATTGAGTGATAATTCTATCTCATTTATTTATTTTATATCAAGAGACATGTCCAAAACTTAGGTTTAAGAATAACTTTAAAATTATTTAAATATTTAGGTATTGTATAAATAAATATCCAAATTTAGATGTGGGATATCTAATAATTTTGATAAGTTAGAAATTTTTGTTGGTGTTGTCACCGATTGGCTTTCCAACATGAATGATTTCTCTTTTTACGTCCATCCACTAAAGAGGAAATATAAAAAAATATATATAAGAATAAATTAATATCTCATATATATGTCGGGGTGTAAATTCAGAGCTTTATTATTACTATTTATTATATTATTATTTTATTATAATACTTTAGTTTTTTCTAATAGTTATAT